CACACTGGCCACATGAGACTGGGCACTGTCCTACACCAGGAGGAACCCAGGGCCCACTGCACAATCACTCTCACACACACACACACACACACACACACACACACATATATATATGTAATTAAATGAATAATTCTTTTTATTGTCTTTGATGATTTTGTCATGTTGATGAAAGTCTATTTGATCATGTGACAAGACGATGCAATACAGTAGCTGGTTCAGGTGCAAAATCTATCAGGACTGACTGAAGCTGAGTACATCTGCATATTCAGCGAGCGGCCATGCCATTCAAACATAAAAGTAGCAATAAGAAAGTTCAAGAGAGAAACGAACAGGAGGAATAAGTAGCACCAAATCCACCAGAACACAGGAAATTAAGTGTTTGATGCTCAAACTTTTCTTGCAAAGGACCCCAAAACCCCCATTTCATATGTACCCTCCCAAATATCGAAACGAAAATGATGCCCTTGGATGCTAGTATATCTTTACGTTGTTAGTTTAATATTATTGTTTGCCCATGAAATATGATAACACCAAAGACCTGATAGGCGAGTCAGACAACTTAACAGTGAAGCGTAGTATGCTAAAGAGAGTTAAACTAGTTTCACTCTCACTTTCCATCAATATATCAGTCTTATCAAGGCCACCACCATACATCAAAATAAATATTAACATTAGTAAAACTTCAAGTTATTGTTATAACTAAATAGTTCACTCCTGATAAGAGATAATATTTGTTGTAAGGTTGCAGCAATATACCAGTTTCAAGGTATACCGTGATATAACTGTTGACGGTTAGCATATTGTGTACATTTGCTTATCTACGATACTGAAAAAAAAATGCATTACTTACTCACAGTTTTGACAAAACCAGGTTTCTGAAACAGGGCTCTGAACGAATGCTCATATATGTACTGTGGCCTACTTGTTGTACTGTGTGGATGTGAATCAACATACACAGCACAAGAAACCAAAGACATGAGTCATCTGTTTTGTCAGAACGCACATGACTGTGGCACAATCATGGGAAAGCTTATCAAGGCAATTGCAACTGAGTTATTTTCCAAATCACATGCTTCCTTTGTTCTAACTAGGCCAGTCTCTACCAAAAGTAGCCTAAACAAAAGTATCTGGTCTGCAATCAAATCCCACACTGGCCTTTCAGTTTTAAGTTGTGCCGAGTGGTTTGGTGCGTGTAAGACTAATAACCTGGTTAAAGACATATCTTAATAAAAATAAAGCTACACCATGGCCAGTATTTCCTGACTCTCTAAAGTGGTACTGAATTTCAGCTGTTTTGGAGTAACCAGTCCATTCACATACTTCACTGTTTCAGCACACACTGCAATTCCCAGCATCAAGAAGTCATTATTGTGTCCCTTTCAAATGACCTTTGTCACAGGAATCAATCAAAAACTCTGTTCAAAGGGCCACCAACATTTGGAGGAGACAATAACTGAGGCCACAGTGGATATTCCATCCCTACAAATATGACTTTATAAATCCTACTCTGTCCATTGAGCTGTGGATAATTACTCTGAGAAAGCCCAAGCTTTCAGTTTCATCTTCAATCACATCATTACACAGGGCAAACTTTCTGCTATGTCAAAAAAAGGGGAAACAAGGACCCACAAATGACAAGACAGACAAAAGACAGTCATTTGAGCTCAAGCTGCAAAAAAAAAACCCTTAACCGAAAATAGCACCTTCATCTACAGGCCATGCCAAGGCTGACAGCCTGTACACTCAATTGTTTGGTGGCCTGACACCTGCAGTACCCACCCAGCACTATTAAATCATGGCCTTTGCAACCTTGTTAGATTGTCATAACAGCATTAGCAACTAGAAAAGTAGTAGTAGCAGATCAAGAAGTGGCAGCAGAAGCAGTAGTAAAGTGCGCTGACTAGAGCCAAACCAGAACTGGACTTTTGAGGCCAATATCTATGTAAAAAGTTTAAAGCTGTTCTAATGAATATTTTTAATGGGTCACATGGCTGTGTATAATGTGAAAGGGTTGGCTCATACAAAGGCAATCTTCACTCAATTTATAAGTTTCCCTCAGTTCTACAAAGTGTTTCAGTGTCTTTCATTATTTTCCCGGTCTAAAAATTTACTCTTTTGGTTCAGTCTCAAAGCTCTCATCAGTGTCATGTTCAGCAGCGACAGTCAGCTGCTCTCAGCGAAAAAGGTTCCTTAAACCCACTGCATGCTACCTGCCCCTCGCGAGCGACACACAGACAATTATAGGTGTGGCAACTATGTGCTAAAACGTGTAGACTATTTCTCTCTGGCAAACAAACTTCAATGTGGACCAGTTTTGCATTTCCTGTTAATTATTAGTAGGGCTGGGCACTATGGAGAAAGTCAAATATCACAATATATTTGACCAAATACCTTGATATTGTGATGATATTGTAGGGTTGACTATTAGTAATTAACAAAAAACAATATTATGACTATGTGGATAAATACAAATAATAGAACAGCTAGAACAGTCTAGTAAATTCAGACAATGACATAACTTTTCTGTAATGCAGCCTCTAAAACCAGGAAAAACCATGACTTAGGCCTACAATATTACAATAACCAAAATCTAAGACAACATCTAGTGTCAAGATGTCAATATAATATATTAAGAATGTAACACCAATACTCAATATATCTGCATTAGGCTAAAGAAGGCAGAGTTATCAGTCAGGCTCTGAGTGAGACACTTTTGATTTTGCACTGTAAACAAACATATTCACCTCCTAACAACAAAATGGCGCAGGTCTTTAGTAGTGGTGGCAGCAGCAATAACTTACTGTTACTGAAGCTACTGTAGTAGAGTAGTAGTGAGGTCTGTGGATTACACAGATCACCAGGGGTCGTTTTGATGGTAAATTTAAATGTGACACTTCAATTCTGTTATGACCTGAAATTAAATTCACCCTCCATTGTAATGGGGAGGAAGCAGAGATGGATATCTCACCACCAGCTGTGCAAATAAAACCTTAACCTCGACTTGGCTCAGCACCACCAAAGGTAAGAAGCGAGAACATGCTTCTTTTTTTGTAATTTAGATGGAATACGCCTTTAAACTACTAAATAAAAGCTTATTAATGGCTTTGATAAGAATATGTTTTTTATCCTAATTGATTATGAAAGTTTAATTTAGGTCTTAGCTAAAGTCAACTAACCCGGTTAACACTAGCTCCATTAATGAGTAATAAACACAGCAAGTGGTGAAGCTTGTTTAGCCGAATACAGGTATAAAACACTGATAAATTTAGTCGGCGAGCAGACAGTAGATTGTTTAGATAGTTATTACCACAATATAACCTGCAGTCAGTCAGTCAGCACTTATCAGCACAGAGCACACAGTCGAGCTGTTTTAGCTAATGATTAGCAAACACGTCTGTTTAGCCTCAGTCTGCTTTCCGTAGTGAAGGGGTCGTTGACTAATTAAATACACTTACCACGCCTATCCATCTTTGGGTCAGGATGGCAGCGTCCACATTATCCTCTTTCACACCATCGTAACTGAAGTTAAAAGACAGACTGTCCTGTCACCAGACAGGAGCTCCTTTCAAAACATCTAGCTCTCAGCAACAAACTGCATTCCTCTACGGGAAGTCGCGCTGTCCAAAATAGTAACACGCCTGCCCATGTGTGTAGAACAGGGACGTATTCGCATATTTGACATTGGGGGGCATTTTTAATCGACACCTTCTGCGTCTCAAACTACGAGGGCGGTCATCCTGGAATTTTTTTTTAGAAACTTAACAGCTTATTTGACTTTGTCAGAGTATTTTGAAACAAAATGTCAGATTAAAGGTTGCTAAAGTACTGATGACTGAGTGCCATCTTTAAGAGCCAGTATATGACTGAGGAAAAGTGCACAGACAGTGGTGGTTTTATGATATAATATACTTATGCATTTTTATGACATACCAACACTTTACAAAAACTATAACACGTAACACAGTTAACAGTAACACAGCCTACATAACACTCACACTACACTCTAGTTTTCCACTTTTTAATAAATTTGAAAGTCATGAAATAGAGACACAGTAGTGTTTGACAGTAATGGTGTCTGCTGGGGTATGGTAACACCACTTGCACAAACCATATACTGAACTGCAGTACACCACAATATTATAGCCAGTAGTAATACATAATAAAGTCATACATTTGTTGTTTATTTGTGATTATGATTAAATTTGCTAATAATTATTCCAGACAGCGGTGCGGTTGCGTAACATTGGAACATTTTCTTCTTTAACCTATATTTTTTATCAATATATCAGAGGGGCATTTTGAGCTGATTTGAATATAGAACAGTGCAGGCAGTGTGACTGCACAGGGGCCTTTGAGGTGGGGGGCCCATAGAAAGATGACATGAACTGTAATGTTGATTTGTTTACTGTCATGGGTGGATTATGAGACAATGAGCCCCTGGATACAGATATGCCAAAGCCCCCACCACCTCTTCTACAACCACATGGGAGCAAGGCACATAGACATGGTTTAGCATCTCTTTGTGGTCAGTTTGATTCTTTTTCTTGTCAGTATATGTTTCAGTAATTTGTTTGACATTTTGCAGATAAGGGGCCACACAGGGCCCTTTAGGCTCCTGGACCTGTGACCAGTGGGCCTGTAATCATCCATGGTTACTGTAGAGTTCCTAGTGTAGAGTTCATGATGTAGCTGGTCAGTTATTTCTCCAAAAACCAGTAAATGCAAATTGTGACCACATCCCCATCAACCCGTTTTTCACAGCAGACATTTTGACTCGTTAAAGCAAGAAGAGCAGAGATGTAAATAATATTTGTAACTGCTTCATTCCATTTAGTTTCCCACTAAGCCATGTCAGTGAGTGAGTATGGATAAAACCAGAGCCCTGGAACTGGCTCACTTAAATGAAATCCAGCCATCATTAATGTTACTAATTCCACCTCTTTCCGTCCTGCTTTGACAAGTCCACATTTTTTCATCTTTCAAGGATTAAAAATGTCTCATTAGTTGCTTCAGTATTGTTTATTACAATGTAAGTTGCAAAGGCAATCAATGAGTGGGTAATTTGTCCATCCCTGATCCAATAAACATACATTTAACTTCTTCAATGAGCTCAGCACATCTTTAATTAACACATATTTAAATATTTACAGCCTGAATACAATGTCTTGAGCTCTTACCAAAGACTTCATGCCTTTTCACTATGCAGACAAATAGCAGAAATGTGGTCCAACATGTTGCATGCCACAAAGTATTTAGCTTAACGGTTCTTTCCAGCACCTTTCTCTCACAATTTCCTGTCTTCCTCTCCCTCAAACAAATCACACTTACACACATCCACACACTCACATTTCACTCACTCATGGAAATCTAATGAAGGTGCTGATGGAGGTAAAATTTCCTGGTTGGCTCTTCACTTCCTCTTAACTTAGTTTCAGTTTTTATTACTGATTCTTGAGCCAGCTGGATATTCATATGTTCACAAAGCTGCTGCTTTCTTCTCTTTGTAAGTCGCCATCATTTTCTTAATCTCTGCAATGGCCTTCCCTGGGTTGAGTCCCTGTGGAGCAGCACGTCAAACAGACAGTGAGAAATTAAAAACTGCAAGAGAGTCTGCAAGAGAGTGTGTGTGAGAATGTTTTAAAGTACCTTGGGACACGTCTTAGTGCAGTTCATGATAGTGTGGCAGCGGTAGAGCGAGAAGGGGTCCTGAAGTTTGGACAGACGCTCCTCAGTGAATTCATCACGGGAGTCAATCATCCACCGGTATGCCTGTGGGATAATAACACAGTTGACTTCTGTTCTTTGCTCCGTCATGAATAATTTTTTGTGCTCTATTTTAAAACTTGAAATGTAATATCTTGACAACTAAGTTGTGATTCATGACATGATTCCCCTAAACTCGTGCCCGTCTTTGCATCATGTTATGAACTGACACAATCCCTCAAAGTACAGTCTCAGCTGGAAAAATGCTGAATGTAACCAATGTCAGCATGTTAATGTCTGATAGTTCACACTCACAGCATTTAACTGAAAGCTAGGCGTGTTATGATTCATAGGTCCAATATGATAGATGCAAAGTGAAAACATTTTGTGTTGTCATCTTTAAAGGTCAAGTGTGTGAGATTTTCATCATGTGGTGAGGTTGCAAATTACAACCAATGGAAACTTCTCCCATGTGCCAGGGATGTAGAACTATGTTGGCCGACACAAAAAGGCAAAAATGGCCTTTTCAGGAGCCAGTGTTTGATGCGTCCATTCTAGTGTACTGAAGTAAAAACATGGTGGACATCATGGAAAGAGGACCTGCACTGTGTGTAGATATGAACACACAACAATTCTTAGTTTAAGGTGATTTCACATTTTCATTTGTTTAAAATGTGTTTCATTTTAAACGAATGAAAACATAGTTATAAATATTAGATTACATTTCTGCCAATAAATCCCCCTAAGTCCCACACACTGGACCTTTAAGATACACCTTTATTTTGAGAATTAAAAAAACAAACAATTCAGTCACCAGCTTCACAACATGGCCTTTGCTCTGGAACCACCTTCAGGCTAAATTTCACATTATTTGCCACATGAGTGCAAAGGATCTACTCAAGTTTTCTCTTTATGGTTTGTAATGAGCATTATAGGCCCACAAGGCCCCAAATGTGGCTATAACTCCTCTTACCACATGTAATATCTGGATTCATTTGGGATATGCATCTCATAACCAAATAAGATTACCCACCTGCATTAGAACAGCAGGTCCCAAGTATTTGTCTCCATTCCACCAGTAGCTGGGACAGCTGGTGCTGCAGCATGCACAGAGGATGCACTCATACAGGCCGTCCTGTTGGGTTCGGAAGACTGTGACTACACAGGCAAATCACGATGCTATCATTCAAGTGTGATTCTGCTGAAGATTTTCACAAGTAATACGTCTGAGACTATTAGATTCTCATGATGAAATGATTTCTAGGGTCAAAATATGAAGATCTCAATACGGCTGCCACAACATGTGTTATTATTTGTGGGAGATCTGCATTTCTTACAGGAATGTGTTGGTTTATTTACCAGTTTTTGCCTGTCCTCCACCGACTGGAAATACTGCTCCTTCCCTTCTTGAGCTTCATCCTTCTTTTTCAGGTAGGGCTCAATGGATTTGTACTGTGCATAGAAGTTACTCATATCCTGGTGAAAATCATATGAAGGAGAATTCAAAACAAGCACTCAAACAATCATGAAATGTACCATATATGAATGTATTATAACTTGCTACGTTTTCACACTTGAAGTACTTACAGGCACCAGATCTTTGACCACATACATGTGTGGGAGGGGGTAGATTTTGGTTACTTTGGTTGTGTTGCTGTCAATTTTGTTAAGACATGCCAGTGTGTTGCCTCCATTTATGTTCATGGCACATGAGCCGCAGATACCTGAAAAAATACACAATCAATAGATCACTGACATCTGGTACAAAGGTCAGTTTAAAAGGCCCAGTTAATGTATTTCATTTGTTCTGATTTTTTAAAATAAATCTGGAAACTGTTAACATTATTATATACAAGCTTATTTGTATACTCCGCATACAGACTCAGTACAGTGAAGATATATATTTAATTCTTAATATCTTTAGTACTAGTGTTGACATTGTAGCGCACTGCACATTTCTATTTTATTGTATTTCATTACTTTATATTTACATACTTCAATTTCATACTCTTATTATTACTTCTTATAATTCTTTATTCTTTACATCCAAGTGACTATAACATATTACAATTTCCCCTCAGGTGTCAATAAGTGTTTCTGTTTCTGATTTTGATTCTGAATCTAGGTGTGTTTCTTACCCTCACGGCAGGAGCGCCTGAATGTGAGTGTGGGGTCAATTTCATTCTTGATCTTAATGAGGGCATCCAGAACCATTGGACCACAGCTATATCAAGAAGAACATGTCAATAGATTATGACACTGAAACATACAGCTCCACAATGTTCTTTTCATGGACCCGGTTATGACTTACGTGTTGAGATCGATATCATATGTCTGCATTCGTGGTTTGTCTCCAGCAGTGTCTGGGTCCCAGCGGTAAATTTGGAACTTCTTGATCCTGGTTTCAGCAGCCGGGGCAGCTGATGTCTGAGCATGCCGAACCATCTGTATCACAGATAACAAACAAGAGAGGCAGGATATATGAATCACTGAGAAGTATCAAATACCCTTTTCTTCAATTTCTTATTCCTCTCTGTATTTTCTTCTTTCATCTATTCTGGTAAAACACTTTCTTTTTGGGTAAAAGTAGAATAAAGAGGCACAAAAGCAGAGTTCTGTACAAAGGAACACAACATAATGTGACGTAGCTGCTGTTCATGTCAGCTGAGGCTAAAACAGGAGGCACTCTGTAATTCTATCCTGTAACACCAGAGGATACTACTTGTGCTAGTTCAACAACTCATACAAACAGCTACAAAACTGACAATAGATTTGTATTGCCAAATATTTAATCATTAAAAATGATTGCTTTCCAATAGAATGAAAAGGCAAACTAACAAAACAAAGGTACCATAAGATTAACTCAATCAAATTAATAAATTCCAATGACAGCCTTTGAAAATAACACTACAAAACATTATGTAGGTATTGTAAAATGTATAAACTCAAATTAACATCTTGAGACATCATTTGAGATTATAAATCAATATTATATTACATCATTTGGCCAGTTTACACAATCCAATACTGTTTACTCCTTTTGTATAAAAGGTGTGAAGTCTCCCTCTAGTGGTAGCTTGGATGAACTAACGTGAAAGTGTTACATCACTTCGTAGTCTTTGGTTACCTAACTGACTCTTTAGGGACAATGAAAGACAGACTTTAGCACAATAAATTCAATGATTCCATTTAGTTACGAGAAGTAAAATATCTATGTGTGCCCTAACTGCTGAAACAAATTTTAGATATGATATATCAGTCTTTAAAGGAAGGTAGGAGTTGAACAACGGCTCAGCTTTTCACAATGGACAGGTTTACTAAGCGATTATTACACTACATTGACAACGAAACATTTGCTAAATGTAAATACTGCTAATCAATCTAATGCACACTTAACAGTGAAGCAGACAGTATGAGAATAGGATTCTCCAATTTTTTGTCTCATTTACACACATAGCCTGAGAGCAGGGTGTGTTGTTGTAGTTCCTCTGAACTAACTAGTATTAAATACTTTTGGGATGATTCACTATAGCCTAGCATAAACTCAACAGTCAACAAATCAAAACATAGACCCAACTGTTACCGTTGGTCTTTACATTTCTTAAAGTAGCCTAACAGTTAGCCTTTATAAGGCATGTTGGTTCTAATACTGAATTAATATATCTCGTACTCACCACCATCATGCCAGAATTCCTAATAGCCAAAACATTTCGGCCGAGGGCGCCGCTAACCACCGACATTTTTCCGACTACTTTTGTTTGACAGTAACTCCACAACAGAGCAGACAGGACAGCTCACTTTTATCTCAACTACCCGCTGCCGTGTAGAGCCCTGTACGTAACCCTCAGCCCGCCCTCTACGTCCATCCATGTGACGTAAGGGACGTTGGCGTGCGCAACGATTGTTGTTTTCACTAGCGCCCATGGCTCCCCCTTAGCTCTTTTATCCGGCTGTTATACCACAAACTGGCACGCAAATATTTTGTGCTGGAGCTGGACAATAAAATGAGCTTCAAGCATGATTGTGGAACCTATTATATTTCCATACAAAAACACATGCTTCACTTAATCGGGTCATAAATGTACACTTCCGCAAATCTTCTAAATATCCGACAGCCCCTGAAGGCATCATATGTGAGCGCCTCTTTCACAACCCTCATTGCTGAGAGCGAGGGTCAGTTACATATGTATCCATAACTGAAAACACTGCTGTGCAGGGGCAATTATTTTTATAGATTTATGCCGATAATATTTATAATATATCCCCGCCCCTTTCACGTAACCATTTTTATTTAATGACAGTGAAAGTTTACTGGCCTAAAAAATACAAATGTTACTTTTTTTTCCCACTGAATTTGTTCCATTTGAAGGTTAATTTTGATAATGTACATTTTCTCAGTAACTTCTTTTTTTTTTGTCTTAGAAGGCATTTTGTTCCTGGCCATGTAATGTAGAACTTTTATTGGGTTATAGCCTACGTACCGCGCAATGTTACTCCATATGTCCTTGACCCTTCTATTATCTATATATGTTATTTACAACATATATGCAATATACCATTACTGTTGCAATAGTTCAGTATCTTCAAAGGAATCACTTAAGTTAGTCTTAAATAATAATCACAGCACCTTTTAATAGACCCCTTACTGTATGTTGCCTTGATAAAGGTCATTAAAAGACACTGGAGCCACTCTGTGTTATTACAGTAGGCTATGTCCATTTTATGTATGTAGTATATTAATGTAATGACTGCCAGTCTGTTCTCATTTAATATGCACGACATAACTGGGGCAGAGATGTACACAATAACCTATTCAGATGGTAATGAATTTGAAGGTCGAGGGGAAAACTTGAAAAATGTACTTCAGTTTGAATTGAAAAACTATCTATCACACAAGAAAACATATATAAATAAAAATAAAATAATAGTAAGGACCTCCTGGACGTCATCATAATAATACATAGCTTAGGCAATAAGCATGGACAGTAGTATTGGACAGTATCAGATGCAGCCCAAAGCCTGCTGTGATTTTTATTTTTCATACTTTCAGAATAAAAGCATGTAAGGAAAAACAAAAGAAAAAACAACAACACAAAATTAATAAATTCTTCGATATTATAGCACTCCACTTAACAAACAACGGGTGAAAGTGATACATCCATGTAAAAAAACATCCGTCTGATTTTTTTAGATTTTATTTCTTTTAAATAAATATTAATTTTAGATCATTTTTCCATAGATGATACAAATAACAGACCATGTAAACAACAATAAAACAGGTGGTGAATGGGACATTGTGTACAAGAATATAGAATTTGATCAAGCATAAAATCCTCCTTCCTTTTTCCGTTTCACGTTGCCTACAATGTTTCAGACGGCCGTTCACTTCCATCAATACTTGTTTTATTTTGAAAGTTTTTGCCGGAAGTTTCTTTCACCTGTTGTCGTACTTGACTCTGGTCCAACAAGCATGGGCTGGACCACCACCACCTCCTCTGTAGAGTGTCTGAAACTCAGAGTGTAGCCTGTTGCGCCAACTGTTGAAGCAGCATGTCGTGGCTCTTCGGCTGGGGGAAGGGCTCCGGTTCGCCGCCGGCGGAGGAGCAGACAGCGGCCGGTCCTTCTGAAGGGGCCGGGGGTGCACCGGGAGGTCCAGGGGGAGACAAGCCCGGAGACAAGTGGAGTAACTTTGACCCGACGGGGCTGGAGAGAGCTGCAAAAGCTGCAAGGGAACTTGACAAATCACGTGCGTACTAATTTTACCAGCATTCAACGAAAACACCTGCTTTCTTTAACTTCTGTAATATTATAAGTACATTGTTTTTTGGTTTTTTACTGGTTTGGACAAACTTTCCCGTGCTGGCACGTTCTGTTCTTTATGGCTGAGAGCCCGCGTGCTGAACTCCACACAAAAATCTCAGGCTGAAAGTTAACTTTATAACTTGCAAATGTGCACTCGTTTAATATCATGGTGTATGATCACTGTTAAGCTGTCGGGTGCCATTCTGTAATTCGGCATACTTTTATCAAACTTGCTGCACAGTCCAGATAACATTTAAACTTTTAAACAGGTTTACCTCCACCAATCACCGGGGGCCAAGGGCTGACAAACTTACAATGCTTTATATGTAGTTCTGTGTTAAATGTATTTTGGGGAGGTGCTTTAATTTTTTTTTTTTTTTTTTTTATTTTTTGCTGAAATACTGGCAATGATGCACGTGGTCATACCGGCCTGTTTGACCTCCACACAGTCTGCAGCAAAGTTAAAGAGCTTTTGGTGGGCGTGTCAGGGAGCACAGATGGAACAAAGTGTCCTCGCGAGCTCAGCCGCTCACCTGTCCCACACACGTCATGCCTTTTCATGTCAGTATGTGCAGATGAACATACTAACTGCTGTTCACTCTATGGGGGTATACTTACACAGTGTGTGTCATGTACATGTATGTTTCATTAACTGTTTTAAATGTCTGCTATGCTCTCTACACACACTGACAGGCTCAGGCCCATCATCTTGTGGTGGCAGTTTTAAAGGTCCATTGTGTAGGATTTAGTGGGATATATTGGCAAAAATGGAATATAATGTAATAAGCATGTTTGCTTTAGTGTATAATCACCTGGAAATAAGAGACGTTGTGTTTTTGTTACCTTAGAATCAATCCGTTTTATCTACATAGGGAGAGGGTTCTTTGTCCACGGAGATCACCATGTTGCCCCGCCATGTTTCTACAGTAGTCCAGAACAAACAAACCAAACACTGGCCATTCACATTTTTGCAGTAGTCCTTCCATGACGAGCAGTGTCGGAAAAATGCAGATTTTTGTGAATGTGACATTGCTTTATTCAGTGCTTTTATTGGTTTAGATCATCGGGTCCATTTGTTTTGAAGAGGAGGAGACCTCTGCAGATAATTCAGCTTTTGGTAAAAACTTGTCTGGATGTTACGTTATCAAATAAAGTGGTGAGCACACATTAGTAGGTGCTGGGAAGTGCTGAACACCATTGGAGAAACACTGATTTTTAACATGTTTTTTTTTCTGGTTTAAAACAACTGGTCTGTTTGTTTTAGAGAGAAAGAGACCTCCGAGGATAATTTGGCTCCCTGTAAGACTTCCCGAACAAGCAACACTGAAGGAATTCTTACTGGAAAAAGTCGTCACCACTAGATGTCACTAAATCCCCCTAAATCTGATACACTGTGCCTTAAAAGCATATTATACCCACAAGTGTAACTATATTTGCCCTGGTGGTTAAAATTTAGATAGCTGAATGAATAAAGTAGCATTTCTCACTATATATATTTTTTTATTTCAACAGGACATGCTAAAGAAGCGCTGGAGCTGGCTCGTATGCAGGAGCAGACTGTACAGTTGGAGCATACCAGTAAAGTAAAAGTAGGTGTTGGAGAAGGTGGATTTATCGTCAAAGTGCCTCGATGTGATCATCTGATAGCCTGACTACACCCTGATGTCAGTGAACATAACACTAACCAAACTCCCCAACAGGAATATGAGGCGGCTTTGGAGCAGCTGAAGGGTGAGCAGATCCACCTCCAGGGCGAGGAGAGACGCAAAACACTGGCAGAGGAGACCAAGCAAAACCAGGCAGTATGGAAATAACCCTGAACACACCATCTGACAGTTAAACAATTTTCTCCTACAAGATATAGTTAGTACGACGGAGTATTAGGGCCACATTGAAGAAAAAAAAAATCGGAGATTTCGAGAATAAAGTCGAAATATTACGAGAAAAAACTCGTAATATTTCGAGAATAAAGTCATAACTGAGAAAAAGTCATAATATTATGAGAATAAAGTCGAAATATTATGAGATTAAAGTAGTAATTTAACGAGATTAAAGTCATAATATTACGAGAATAAAGTCGTAGTTTTTAAGGAAATAACCAACAACAAACAGAATATCAGATTGTCTTTCATGCCGTTGTAAGTAGCCTACTCAATTAGGTTCGGGAACCGGCACCGTGCCGGTTCTGTGTCAGTCCAAACTCCGGGCCCAGCTCTGCCACTGATTGGCCAGTCTGACATTCTTCATAATACATATAGAACGTTAGTGAAACACATAGGCCTAACAGAAACATGCACTCGTTTGGGGACAAGTTATTGGTCACGTTACTCGTTCCACAGGTGAAGGACCCCGGACACATAGCCTACAGTAAATACACCGGTTGTAGCCTAAGTAACTTTTAACATACGTGAGTCTTTGTGACTCTTGACTCTTGTCCCATAACTAGGGGACCCCCTAACCCCTAACGCTTGTTTCTGTTTCACTAACGATATTTTCACCCCATTAAGTCACATCCCATTATTTCCTCTGTAAACCTAACGTTACAGCAGCCTACAAGCATGCTGTGTCAATAAATCAGCTCGGACACTGTTAGAAATGTAGTATTTAGCCTAATAACATCATGCTACAGCAGTAATAACGTCAGCTTTAGTCAAATGGCTCTAGCTCTCCTGGTAAATGTCATAAACTCTGGACACATTTTCCCTGTATGTTGACATGATAATGGCCGCGTTTCCCAGATCGCTCTTAGCTTAAGAAGATCTTTCACTAAGAAGGAGTTGTAAGATCGAGCTGACCCACTCTTAACACTCTTCTTAGCCACCAAACGCTCACAGATCCAGCAGCGGCAGGCACATTAATATTACACTAGCCTAAGCAAGGAGATGTTGAAACAGTGCGCACCGTATATATTTTGATCTATTGTATAGGTTACTTCAGATTTATATTGTTTGGCATTAATTGGTGACAGAAAAGAACGAATTTCATTCTGCAGGTAAATGCGTGTCTTTACTGTGCATATTGAATCTTGA